GGAGGCTGCACTGACTTCCCAACCTGCCATCCTCCTGAGTGTGATCTTACTCCCTTGGCCTTGAAGACTGGCCCACTACTGAAGTCCTAATTTCGGGGTGCATCTTTTAAGACTTGGAGCTAGGCTGGCTGTCTCATTCCCTGCTGAGAGATTTTTGCCCCCTTAATCTTATATCTTTTTTGATGGGAGTTGAGTACCAGGGATTGAATTCAGGGGCACTGAGCCACACCCCAGCCCTATTTTGTAATTTATTTAGAGACAGGGTCTTGCTGAGATGCTTAGCACCTCACTTTTGCTGAGCCTGGCCTCGAACTTGGTAATCCTCCTGCCTTAGCCTCTTGAGCCACTGGGATTAAAGGTGTGCACACAGCGCCTAGCTTTAACCTTAAATCTTTTTTTTTTTTTTTTTTTAATATTTTCCCTTAGTTGTTGATAGATCTTTATTTTATTTATTTATACATGGTGCTGAGAATTGAACCCAGTGCCACACACTTGCAAGGCAAGTGTGCTACTGCTGAGCCCCAGCCCCAGCCCCAAACCTTAAATCTTAAGGGGTCCTATTTTTTAGTAAGATAACTCTCAGGTCCAGGGGCCAAGTCAGCCACCAGGAGGCAGGGCTCACAACCAGTTTCATCTCATTGGCTGGAATTTAGTGATGTGCAGGCCACTGCAGAATGGGGGCCTGTGGCCTTGGCTGGGAGTTCCTCACCTAAAAGCAGAGGGACTTCTGCTCTGGCTCTTCAGTGAAGTGAGTCTACTTTGACCAATTTTGTTTTGCTGATCCTATTGATCCTTTGGCTTCTGTTTCCTAATTTCTGCTATTTTTTTAATATTTATTTTTTAGGTAGAGGTGGACACAATATCTTTATTTATTTATATGCAGTGCTGAGGATGGAACCCAGGGCCCACACATGCTAGACGAGCACTCCACAACCCCAGCCACCAATTTCTGCTATTTTTTATTTCCTTCCTTGGACTTCCTTTAGTTTTGTTTTGATATTTATCTTGCTTGTGTTGAGTACCTACATCATTTTGTTTTATTTCTTTTATTTATCTCCTTTGTTTTAAAATAAATACATTTAGGGGAATGAAGTTCCTTCTAATCAGGGAGATCTTCAAAATATTTAACAACCAGGGACTGGGGCTGGGGCTCAGTGGTAGTGTACTTCCTGGCATGTGTGAGGCCCTGGGTTCGATTCTCAGCACCACATATAAATAATAAAGGTCCATCAACAACTAAGTCTGGAAGAGCCTCAGCTTCCAGTCAGGAAAGCCCAGAACAACAGAACAACAAGTACAACAGAAGCACCAAGCAATCAGGGGCATCCTGGCCAGCAGCAGTCACTGCCTGGCTGGGGTGGGAAGACCCAGGGACTCTCCTGGTGTCCAGGTCCAGGTGGCAGACCCTCAGTGCTGGGGTCCAGAGTGCTTGGCTGGCATCCTTCATTCAGTGTCGGGAGGAAAGCAAACCCCACAAGGGGTGTGAGACAGGATGTCCTGAGGACAGAGTCCAGGCTGGGAAGCAGAGGCCTCCAGAGGAGACTGAGAGGGAGCAGGGAGTGGGGGAGCCAGGAGGGGTCCTGGGAGAGGCCTCAAGACTTGCAGTCAGGCAACTGTGGGGGTTTGAAGAGCCTCTCATTTTCCCCAGTGCCTCCAGACTTTCAGCCATAGTCCCTGTCCTCAGCCCAGTCCCAAATTCCTGGTGGTGAATGGAGCAGGCCACAGAATTGGGGTATCCCAGGAACTTGGCGGAGCCACTGGCCCTGCCTGGACAGAGCTGGGGGGCTTCTCTGTCAGGCTCAGTCCCTGGGCTCCTCTACCCCCCAGATCCCTCCAGCCTGTCACCCCGGACCTCCTCCCTGCACACCCCCTGGGTGGTCGACAGCCATACCACACACACAGCCTTCCTCCTCTCTTCCCCTTGCCTGTGTGCTGCCGTGAGGAAGGAGGGCTCCTGAAGACCACTCTCCCCACAGGCATCCCTGAACCCCAGTGACCACAAGCTGGACGAGGAGCTGTGCCAGACACTCACTCAGCGCTACGTGAGCATCATGAACAGGCTGCAGAGTCTGGGCTACAATGGGCGGGTACATCCTGCGCTGACAGAGCAGCTGGTGAATGCGTATGGCATCCTGCGTGAGAGGCCTGAGCTGGCCGCATCAGAGGGCGGCTCCTACACTGTGGACTTCCTGCAGCGCGTGCTGGTGGAGACAGTGCACCCCAGCATGCTCACTGACGCGCTGCTGTTGCTCTCGTGCCTCAATCAGCTGGCACACGATGATGGCAAGCCAATGTTCATCTGGTGACGCTGGTGCCCGGCTGGCCAGGCTCACTCTGCCCCACACCCCTGTACACGGCCATTAAAGCTTCCCACAAATCCTAGGCTAGTCAATGATCCCATGCTGCACTCCTATGATGTTAGCTGGGGGGCTCCCCATACCCCTGCACCTTGCTCCTTAAATCCTGCCACCCTGGCACCCACACTTACCCTGGGGCCCTTGGAAGGAGCTCCCAGATCAAGGCTGAGCAGCCATCTGGCTAAGGGGGTTGGTTGGAAGTCCCCCAGGTTCCCTTTACTTGGTGATGGGAGCAAGCAGCAGGCCCTCTGAGACTTGGAACAAGAAGAGCAAGAATCCTGAAGGAGACTGGAGCAAGCAGGCAGGGAGTCCTCCCTCCATGCCGAGCAGGGACTAGGGGCCAGGAAGGAAGGAACTTGAGGGCAGGAGGGCAGTAGAGGGAGGCGAACCTGCTGCCCCTGGCCAGGCAGGCAACTGAACCAAAGTCACTCATGTGAATTTAGTGTGACACAAAATACCACGCAGACAGAGAATACCTTTTTATAAGCTTCAGGACGGCTTCCCTGGCTCCCCATCTCAGGCTCCCACAAGGGGAGCAAGAGAAAGGAGAGGCTGATGAGAGCGAGCACATTCTGGGGTTGGCTTTTATTGGGGGATGCTGTTTTGTAGAACATTCTATCCAAAAGGGCAAGGGGTAGGATTACAAAGGAACAGGTGAGTGTAACTTGACCCCAGTGGATAACCCTACTCCTGGAGTCATGCCTCATTATCTGGAGTGGAGGTAAAGCCCAAGTTATTGCAGGGCACAATAGTTGTTCAGTATCTCTTGCTCAGGACTTAAGGGCATGTATTTCCAGAGCGGCTCCCGACAGCAACCAGAAGAAAGCTGGCTCCATCTTGGGAGGCTGAGGCAGGAAGATGGCAAACCCAATGGGCAGCTTAGCAAGACCCTGTCTCAAAATTAAAGGGCTGAGGGTGTAGTTCAGTGGTAGAGTGCCCCTGGGTTCAGGGGTTCAATGTCTGGTACTGCAAAAGGGGGAGAGAGCTTGTAAGAAGAGAGGGGAAAAAAGAGGGGAGGGGAGGGGAGAAGAGAGTGGGGAGGGGAGAAGAGCGGAGGAGGGAGGAGGGGAGGGGAGGAAAGGAGAGAAGAGCAGGAGGGGAGGGGAGGAAACTGCCTTACCCACCCAAACCTGGGCAGAGAGCAGTCAGGGAGAAAGCAGCCCCTCCCCCAAATGCCTAAGGTCTGGAAAGAAAAGACCCCCTTCACAGGGTCCATGGATCTGGGGTGGGGAATTCAGAAGTAGGGAGGGCTGAACTACCAGCTTCTGGGGCTGAGGTTGGATGGGGAAGCAGGAGAGGTGAGGAGAAAGGATGGATGGGGGTCAGATGGAATGCTTGAGGTAGCCTGTGGAGTGAGATGGGAAGGGTGTGAGCTGGGGGGTGCAGGCCTGGACAGGCTGAAAGAGGCATGAGAGGGCTGGGGTTGTGGCTCAGCGGTAGAGCACTCGCATGTGCGAGAACCTGGGTTCGATCCTCGGCACCACGTAAAAATATATGAATAAAATAAGGGTATTGTGTCCAACTACAACTAAAAAATAAATGTTTAAAAAAAAAAAAAAAGAAGAAGCATGAGAAACAGGGGCAGTGTGGGCAAGCTCAGAGTACTACCTAAGGGAAGCTGTAGAGGCCAGAGCTGAGATGGGAAGGCAGAAATAAGGCCCCCAAGTGAGGAGGGTCCTAGAACATTGGTGTTTGCCAATCAGTGAGTCAAAAGCAAGGAAAGAAGAAGCCACAGGGGTTGGGTTTAAACAGGGATCCTGCCAGCAACCAGTGGGGAACCCAGGTGCCAGGTGTGCTGAGGCTCTCCTGCTGGGATGCCCAGGCCACAGGAGCTATGGCCTTCTGCCCTCCTGGCTCCTAGTCCTCCTGAGACTTTCAGGGTTCCAACCAGACAGCTCAGGCTCTTGCTCAGCCTCTTGGAAGGGGACGAAATAAGTCGATCCAGAGAGCAACATTTGGAACCATCCTGGCTAGATGAGGCCCAGAAGCTCCTTCACCTCCCTGCCTACCTGGGTGAATAGCAGCCCTAATCCAAACCTGCAGGACAGTTTAAGAGTCACTGTACACAGCCGAGGGCAGGGTGGGTGGTGGTTCACAGTCCAAATTATAAAAGTGGGCATCCAAGGGAGCCAAGCAGAGCCTGTGAGCTCCAGGCCACACTGTCCTATCAACTTAGGGTCAGTGCGGGAAGGCTCAGCGAATAGGGAGCTGGCTCCCTCCTGGCTCGCGTGCCCAGGTGGACTGGCCTTGCAGGGCGGAACCAACCGTCTCTCTCCCCATATTGGAAGCTTCTTGGGGTAGGATCACAGGACCACCACCAGCCCTTTGAGGGGACACTGTGGGGATCTGGGCCGGGCAGTGTTTACACCTCTCTGAGCCCGAGTCCGTCTCTCATTGGTGCTGGGTGCTACCGATCAGTCCCCTAGCACCGCAGGGGCAGAAAGATGGGCAGGAGCGGGGTGCAGCAGGGGCGGGGTGGATGCTGCGGTTTGGGTAGCGAGAGCATCCGGCAGGTGGGGGGAGGGGAAGATGAACAGCCGGGTTCAACCCTCACCCCTCTTACGCGGGGCGGAGCCACATTCCTCCTCGCAGCCTCGGGTGGACTGGGCGGAGCAAGATAGGCTTGGGGCGGGGCTGCAAGACTAGGGTCCTTTTCACTTTCCGTTTTGTTTTTCCAACAGCCACCGAAGTTGCGGGCAGGTAAAACCAGGGACTTCCTCGACCCTGGCTTTGGCCTGCGTCGGAACCGCCAGGCTCGCTGGGAACAGCGCCCAACCGGTTCCTCAAACAGGTTGTGCCACGTGGCCTTGACCCGTGACACCCCTGCAGCTCGCGCCGATTTGCCGACAATTCGACTCGCACTCTCGGAGCGAATGAGTCTTCTGGGCGGCTTCTCAGCCAGACAGCCCCGAGCGCTATGCAAACCCAGTCCGACTGGCCTCCGGTGACCGACGACATCCTGCGGCCTTCGCCTTTTGCGCATCCTGGGCTGCACACCCTCCATTGCGTGGCCCGCGTGCTGCTCTTCCCGACCTACTGGGCTCTGGACCAGTTGATTGGCTGCTGGGCACCAACAGCGCGCCCCAGCAGGCTGAGAGCAGCAGCTGGCGGCGGGGTGGCGCTGCTGCTGCTCCTGCTAGTTGGCCTACCGCTGGCGTTGCCTGGCTTGCTACTCTGGCTGCCGCTGCAGGCCTGTCGCCGCCCCTTCTGCTACCAGCCCCCTCCTCCGTGCTGGGTGCCGCCCACGCCCTGGCGCCCGTGCGCTGAGTTTGCGCGCTGCTTTGTCTTCCTCACTGCCAACCTGTGCCTGCTCCCCGACGGGCTGGCGCGCTTCAGCAATCTGCCACACAGCCAACAACGCGCAGAGGCCATTGGCGCTACGCTGTTAAACGGCCTACGGCCCTCGCTTTATGGAGCTACCGGATGCAGCCCACAAAGGCTTGGGGAGCCAGGCGGGACGCTGACGGCCCAGATGCCCGCGGGGCTGGACTTTGTGTGCCTGCAGGAGGTGTTCGATATTCGCGCAGCTCGACGCCTGGTGCGCTGCTTGGCTCCGAATCTGGGCCCGGTGCTGTATGACGTAGGCACACTTGGCCTACAGCCTGGGCCATACTTAAAACTGCTAGGCAGCGGGCTCCTGCTGGCTTCCCGCTACCCGCTTCTGCGTGCCAACTTCCGTTGCTTTCCCAATGCGCGTCGCGAGGACTCCTTTGCCTCCAAGGGTCTACTATCCGCTCAGGTATATTCCCACAGGCTGTGTGCTCTGGCCCTGGATGGGATGAGCTGTTGGGCCGAATGGGCAATGAAAGCTGGTACTGTCGGTGGTGTTGCAGGTGCAACTGGGCATCCTGGACGGGCACCGCGTAGTGGGATTCCTGCATTGCACGCATTTACATGCACCCACTGGTGAGCCCTGTGGGAAGGATTGTTGGACGGTAGCCAGGCCCTCCTACGACCCCTCTTTCGCAGCAGGCCTACCCTTATTTGCACCTCTCTTTCCCACTGCCCACTGTTTTTTGTTCACTGCCCCAGTAATGGCAACTCCCAAGAAGTGCCTGGGTGGGTGCAGAGACCCCAGTCTAGCGGGAACCAGGTGTCCAGGATGTGGATCCTCAACCTGGGCCGAATAGAAGGCGGCACACCTCTACCCCCACCCTCCACCCCTTCCGTAGAGGATGGGCTCTTGCGCTGCAAACAGCTGACGCTGCTACTGGACTGGGCAGAGCAGTTTGAGGCCGAGAGCCGCCAGAGTGGTGAGGCTGTGGCCTTTAGTGTGCTTCTGGGTGACCTAAATTTTGACAACTGCTCAAAAGGTGAGGAGCTTAGCTGGGGGAGGCGAGGCCAAAAGGCCCAGCCCCGCCCACTGAACGCTGGTCTTATGTGCAGACCACGCACAGGAGCAGGGGCACAAACTCTTTCGCTGTTTCCGGGATCCCTGCCGGCTGAGCACACGCCAGGATCAGCCTTGGGCCTTGGGTATGCGTCAGGGGGTTGGGGGGGGGGGTGGCCCCTCCAGGGATTCATCAGCTAGGCACCTGCTGATTCAACCACCCCCACCCGCCCCCCACAGGAACCATCCTAAGCACCTCCACCCTCCACCAATCAGTAGCTAGCTCACCGGAGATGCTGCGGAGGTGAGTGGAGCGCTGGGAGCCAAGCACTGCTGGCTGCGCCTGGAGGAGCGCCCCAGCCTTGGTGACAACGCCCCTCCCCTAGGGCCCTAGAGCAGGAGAAAGGGCGCCACCTCTACCTGGCAGGCCCTCCCCGCGGAGGCCGTCGGGCTAACCCCTGGCTGGGCCGGCGTCTGGACTACATCACCTACCGGGAAATGCCTGGGAGTGTGCTGATTCCAGTAAGTGCCAGAGTTCAGGACTGCTGGGCTTGCTGGCACTGGAACCATCCCTCAACCTGGTTCCTGCCCCCAGGAAGTGGAACAGGTTATGTTTAGTACAGCCCTGGCGGGGCTCACAGACCACCTGACCGTGGGCCTGCAGCTCCGAGTTTCGGCGCTCTCCTGACACTGGCACAAGGACAAAGGATGCTGCCGGCAACACAGACCACAAGGCAGAGCACGAGTTTGGCCTGACAGCCGTGTCCCACAACTGGGCGATGTAAGGGATCTTTATTAGGGGGGCCTCACACAGCCTCTTGGGCCCTGCGGTACTCATAGACACTACCCCGCTCTGAGAAGGCAGGGGATTGTGGGGGCGAGCCCTGCGATGGGGCACGGTCCTCTGGGTTCCCGTAGCCACCACCTCCAGGGGTATGAAGGCAGAACACATCCTGTGGAGAGAGGCGGGTTCAGAACAGGCTTGACCCTTCCCAGCCCGAGCAGCATTCATCATCTTAATGTTTGGACCCCAGAGACCCGGCATATGACCCACTGCCCTTCGGGAACCAAATTAAACTCGCTATCTGGTTATTTCTGCACCTCTGTTCATTCTCCTTGGAATGGGGGAAAATAAGGGAAGTGGCGAACCGCACGGCTGCACCCCTTACCCCCGGGTACACTGACACCGACGTCTTCCCGCCAAGGTTCACAGTGCGGCCATCCTTTCGGATCAGCAGGTTTAGGCCCCTGGCGCCAGGCTCACCCCCTGCAGGGAAAGAGGAGCTGGATGGTCAGGGAGGAAAGGTAGAGAAGGAGCTGGAGAGTCAGGGGAAAACACGACTGGCGGGTGGAAGAGAGGCGGGGGAGCGCGAATGCAGCAGTGAGTAGGGAACAGACTGGTCTGGAGGGGTTGGGGAGCCGCCCACCCTGAAGGCCATATGGCTGGAAGGCCCGGCGTTCTGTGAGCACCGACAGCAGCGCCTCTTCGCGGAAGAGCAGCTCGCGGACCACGCCGTCGCCGCCCCGGAATCGGCCTCGGCCCCCAGAGCCCGGCCTCAGTTCAAAGCGGCGCAAGACGACCGGGTACCTACGCGTACGAAGGGCTCAGCTCAGCTGAACCCAAGCTCGGCCCCATCCTAGCTGCCTAGCCCCTGGCGCGCGTAGCTCACCGGCTCTCCAGTATCTCGGGGTCGGTGATGCGTGTGTTGGTCATGTGGCTGTGCACGCCGCTGCGTCCGTGCCAGCCGGGGCCCGCACCTGCGCCGCCCGCTACCGTCTCGTAGTACCCCATATGGGCATTGCCCAGGGTCACGTTGTTCATGCAGCCCTGGCAGGAGCAAGCCTTAACTGCACCTGGCTGGGGCGGGGATCCGCTTCCAGCAGGCCCTCGCCCTCCCAGAGTTCCCAGAAGCCCCCAGGGCCGCACCCACCCTGCCTATCACACCTGGGAGGCAGCGCAGGCCCCGAAGGCCGCCAGGATGACGTCCACCACACGCTGTGACGTGAGCACGTTGCCGCCCACCACCGCTGCCTCTGAGGATGGGTCCAGGATGGAGCCTCTAGGAATCACCACCCGCACAGGTGCCAGGCAGCCCTGTGCATGGGCAAGCAGCTCTCAGGGGCAAATGGGGCTGGGTCCCTCTCTGATTCCAAGAGAAACATGCCCACCTCCCGGGCTCAGTCCATGTTGGGCTGACCTTGACCCCACACACACTCAGGGTGACCTCCAGCCTAAGGTTCACCTGCTGACCTCGCACTGGTAGGGACCGACCTCAGACTCCACGCCCCTGCGAACCTGGTTGAGTGGGATGTCACGGCCCACAAGACAGCGCAAGCAGTAGATGAGGGCCGACAGCGTTATGGCCCGCGGGGCATTGAGGTTGCCAAACACCTCCGGCCCAGTGCCACTGAAGTCAAATACAGCACTGCCCTGCCCAGGAAGGAGAAGGGTGAAGGCATCAGCAGCGGGGTGGCGCAGAAAGCTCCCTCCCTGTCTCCCAACTAGGTCTGACCTGACTCAGGTTGATCTGAACTCGGAGGTGTATAGGAGAGCCATCATCCATGTGGTCCTCCGCAGACACCTCAAGGGGTAGGCCCCGAGCCTGCCGGGAGGTTCCAAAGGCCCGCAGCATGTCACGCACTGCCAGCTCTGCATTTGCCTGGCAGGGAGAGGGTCCCATGGCAGCCATGCTACTTTCAGAGTGGCCCTGCTACCTTGGGCAGGCAGAGTGGGGCTCCCACCTCCCTGCCCCTAGACCCACCTGAATGTGGCCCATGTAGGCCTGCACAACATCCAAGCCATATTGCCCGATGAGCTCCCCCACCAACTGTATGCCCTTTTGGTTGGCTGCCACCTGGGCACGGAGATCCGACAGATTGTCATGCAGATTCCTAGTTCCACTACAACCAGAGATCTTGCTTGGTGCCCGTAAGGCCTCTGTCACCGCTGGATGGAATGGATGAGGTCACCACTGAGCTGCCCCCATCTCCTCAGCCACCTGGTGCCCTATTCCAGCCCCACTGCACCCCCACTGGGCACTGTTGGCCCTCCACTGAATCCCCACCTGTCCTGCTGACTCCCATTCCCTGAAGCACCAGCCTCCATCCTTTTATCCTTCTGATAGCCAGCGCCTAAGGGCAGCTTGGCCAGTGACCTCCCTGGAGCTGGAGATGCCTAGAGGGCATATTGGTCCCTTAGCAAACTCTCCTCCCTCCTTATCCCTCCTGCCTTCCCCAGCCCACTTCTACTATGTCTCCCAGGAGAAAAGCCACTTCCTTGGCATTCCTCCTCCTCGATATGCCCTTAGCCCTGCCGGCTCCCACTGACATCCCCAGCCAAGTGCCTCAAAAGAGCATCAGACTGCTGCCTGTGCTATCCCCCAACCTGCAGGTTTCTCAGATCTGGACAAGGTTCCCTCTCACTCCTGCAAGGGATGCAGATCTGACCCAGAGACTCCTACACACTTCAGGAACACCCCTTCCCTTCTGAGTTACAGTCTCCAAGGCTCCCTGGCACTGATCCCCTACACTTACACTTACACTTGTTCCTCCATGATCCACACCTCCTACCCCAGCTACCCCTGACCAACGTCACCCTATATGTGTCTGTGACACCCAAAGTGGACCATGGCTCTGTTACCTCTACCCCTCCACCCTGCTCAACTCACCCACCCTCGTTCTGGGGTGCTACTCTGGACTCCCATGCCCCTGTAACCTCAGACCATGTGCTACCTTTCCCGCTGACCCTACCTTCCCTGTCTCTGTTCAGTGTAAGGCCTCCATCCTCCTTCATCCAAACTTGACCCCTCACTCCACCCAAATCCCATCCAATACCAGCCCTGAGTTCCCAAACATCCTTCACCCAAACCCAGTGTGGACTGCAGCAGCTACCTACCTGAAATAGGCCCTTCTTCCTTCTACACTCTACTCTTTGAGTGTCCTGGCCAACTTCCTACCCCCAAACCACCTCCAAGGAGTACTTCTTTGGCCACACAGAATTCATCTCACCTCTAATCATCTCTGGGGGATGATCTGCAACTGCACCACGGGGTCACCATTTGCCACTCCCCAGCCTCAGGGCAGACCTGGGCTGCTGGGCTGTATCCCATCCTGCTGAACCCCCACCGCAGCCCCACTCCGGCTCACCCTCCTCCTGAAAGACGCCCCCCTGGACCAGCTTGAAGGACAGAAAGACGGCCCCCTCCTGTTGCAGTGCAGTGGAGTGCGGGGGCATGGAGCCTGGTGTAATACCCCCAATGTCTGCATGATGCCCTCGGCTGGCCACGTAGAACACAGGCCGAGTCTGACCTGGCCAAAATACCTAGCGGGTAGAGAGTGACAGTCAGCTGTGTCAGCCACCCGTGACCCCCACAAAGGTAGCCTGGCAGTGAACCTCACCGGTGTGATTACAGTCAGGTCTGGAAGATGGCTGCCCCCTGCGCTGGGGTGGTTGCTGAGTAGCACATCACCGGGGTGGAGATCAGAACCCAAGTGCTGGATCTAAAACCAGGAGACAGGTGCAGAATGGGGGTGGGGCAGGGACATGGGTCAGCGAGGGAGGCTAGAGAGGGGGCCCGCCGCACCTGGAACTGCACAGTCTCCTGCATGGCTCCCAGATGCACAGGAATGTGGGGGGCATTAGAGACCAGCCCCCCGTCAGGTCCAAAGAGGGCACAGGAGAAGTCCAGGCGTTCCTTGATGTTGGTGGAGATGGCAGTGCGCTGCAGGATGCGGCCCATCTGCTCTGGGGACACAGAGTGACCAGGTACCCGCTGGTTCTATCACCCACAGCATGGCTCCAGGAAAGGGAGAAGGAGGACCCATGGGGTCAAGGCCTTCAAACCCAAACCCAGGGCCCAGCAACTTTTCCCATGCCCTGAGGAGGACCAGGTGGCAGCACATCCACCGGGGCAGTACAGCCACAGTGTGTCTTGGTCTACGTGAAGGGCATCACCTTCCTCTTCAATTCCATGGAGCTCCCAGCAAGAGCCTGGGGCCTCCCCTTGACCTGTACAGCAGGGACCTGGTGCCCAGGCACAGACCCCCGCCCCCAGGCTCACAAAAGTCCCTGTCCTGACTCTGCACAGGTGAGCTTGCTGTGTTGGCCTCAGGATTCAGTTCCTAGATATCCTCAGATCCTGATAAGAGGAGAAGACACTTGCCTGCCTGAGGACTGCTCCTGTAGCAGGTAGTGCCATCCCAGGGCCAAAGCCATACCCATCACCCCTTGACCCACAGGAAAACTGCTCTTCCCCTTGCTCATGTTTCCCCTTGGCACCCACCTGCTAGCCCACTACAAGTAGCAAGAGCCACCCCACTTGTACCTACCCCTGGCCAGTACACAGAGCCCCCATGCCCTATACCAAGGTCAACCAAGCTTGTAGGGAGGACAGTGGCAGCCACTCACCAGCAATGCTCATGAAGCGATGTGAAAAGATAGACAGCTGGATGGGATCAAGCTTAGTGCCCACTGTGCTGGGGGCCTCAGCCCCCACAGAGATGCGGATGTCCCCTGACTTGGTCACCTCTGCCTGGCACCCGGGCTCCACAAGGATGGTGCTGGGGGCAGGGGGCACAAAGGGGCTGCAATGGCCAGGCCAGAGACCTCTCCCAACCAGGGACCCACAGCCTCAGGCCAGGGGACACCCTGATTATGGGACCCCCCAAGTCCCTCAGGCCCCTGCAGCCATGGGCCTAAGAACCCTCACCAGGGGCCCTATAGTTCACCTCTCCAAGGTTCCACCCAGGCCAGGTCTCAGCCCACCTGTTGCTGTCAATGATGAGGCAGGGCCCCTGGAGCTGGTGCCCATAGCCCAGCTCCCCTAGCAGGTACACAGGGGTCTCCTGGTAACCCCCCTCGAAGTAGCACTGGGTCACCTGCAGAGAGTATGGGGTGAGCCAGGCTCCTAGGCCTCGCACATTCCCTGAGGCCCTCACAGGGTGTGACCTCCCCATCTGCACTTGTGCCTAGAGCCCATGGACAGAGGCAAACCAGCACACAGGCCACCAACCTTGTCCACCCGGGGAGGCCCAGTCTGGGCTTTGGGGGCGACCTCCAGCCGAAGACCACTGCGGCCAGTGCCCCTCACCCTCACGTCGTCCACCACCACAGGCCGCTCAGGGATGACGAAGCCAAACTCCCTCAGGTACCTGTACCACCCCCGCCCAAAAGAGTCATTAGGGCAAAGCAGGCCACCCACTGGGCTCCCAGGACGAGGGGCTCACATACCTTTCCACAAAGGCTGCCCCAAAGTCACCAGCACGGGGTGAGCGGGACGTAGCTGGGTGCTGGTGGGCAGACACCATCAGGGCACAGTCAGTTCCCTGGTAACGCAGATGCAGGAAGCTCTCCGTGCTGATCTGGGACCTAGAGCAGGCAGGCAGGACATTCACCCAGTGTCCCGGATGGTGCCTGTCCTGCTTTCTCAGGGACTCTCAGTCCAGGGGTCCTCCCTCACCGTGGCCCTAAAGGAGCCTGGGACCATTTGGGAAGTCGCCAGGTGGTAAACCCGCCAACAGGGTGGTGGGGATAACACAAGCCCTCTGCCCAGTGACCCAGGACCCCACCTGGGGAAGCCCTGGGCCTGCAGGGCATCCACACACTGCTCCTCCAGGAGGCTCAGTCTCTGGTCCAGCTGCATGAAGGTCTCTGGCGTGTAAGGCAGGGAGCAAGGCTCCTGGGCCTCATGCACCACGTCTGCCAGAGCCAGCCCCAGAGCTGACAGCAGCCCACTGTGCCTGTGGGACAGGGTGGCAAGTGGTGAGGGGGCTCCTCCCAAAGCTGGCTCCCCCAACTCAGGACACAGGGCCACCTGCACATCCACACCCAGACCCACCTGTGAATATGCACAGTGTCCATGCCCAGGGCCCGGGCAATGGCACAAGCATGCTGCCCACCAGCTCCCCCGAAGCAGGCCAGCACATGGGCTGAGGGGTCATGACCTCGTGCCTGAGGATCCAGAAGGGTCAGTGGCTTCTCCTAGGCCACCTGTCGAGCCCCTACCTCTCATCCCTGCTGGGCTGACTGATCAAGAAGTTAGGGGCAGGGGGCAGGGCTGGAGGGCAAGACAGGCAGAGTGGGCAGAGATGGGCATACCTGTGTGAGCGCACGGATGGGCCGGCACATGGCCTCATTGGCCACACGCACGAATCCCATGGCCACCTCCTCCAGGCTCAGTGGGGAGGCCGGGCAGGACCCGCTGGTCAGGAAGCTGTTCACCTCAGTGGCCACAGCCTCCAGGGCCTTGCGGGAGGCTTCAGGGGACAATGGCTGGTCCTCTCCCGGCCCAAAAATGCAGGGGAAGGAGGCAGGCAGCAGGCGACCCAGGACCAGATTAGCATCCGTCACTGTCACGGGGCCCCCTGGGAGGTGGGCATGTTGTAGGGGTTGGAGACTAGAGGCAGGGGACCAGGAGTGGGCAGCAGGGACGAGGCGGAAAGACTGAATGGGCCTGGGACAGCATGAAGAGGCAAGGTCTGGAAGGGCACAGACTCACATACTGGCACTTACCTTTGCGGTAGCAGGCGGGGCCTGGGTGGGCACCTGCTGACTCGGGCCCAACTATGAAGAGGCCAGACCTGGGGAGATGGAGGACTGGGATTGGAGGTGGGAAAGGAAGAAGGGCTGAAGGTCTGGGCTGGCAGGGTGGGAACTGACCTGAAGAAGAGGCGGGAGCCCCCACCAGCTGCCACTGTGTTGATGTCCAGCTGTGGGGCCTGGAGGGTGACACCAGCTGTGCTGGCCTCAAACACGTGCTCAAATTCCCCAGCATAGCGGCTCACATCTGTGGATGTGCCTGGTGGGAAATGGGGTGCTGGGAGTCACCCAAAGACCAGCTTGCCAGGATTTGCCCAGCCTGGCAGCTAAGCCTCCCCCAGATGCCCCCTTCAGCCTTCATACCTCCCATGTCAAAGCCAATGATAGGCTGGTGACCCTCTAGCTGATAGGTTGTGGCCGAGTAACCCACCACACCGCCGGCGGGACCAGAGAGCACAGCGCGGGAGCCACTGAAGGCGTCCATGGGCGCCAGGCCACCATCGGAGCGCATGAAGAGCACCTGCACGTCCTGTGAAGCGGGCAGGTGGGCAGCAAGGACTGGGCAGGCCCAGAGCTGAAGCCAGGAGCAGGCAGTGGAGGGGCCTTACCTTAAGCTGGCCCTGGAAGCCACGGCGGAAGCTCTGCACGTAGCGCTGGATGGCAGGAGTGAGGTAGGCGTCGGCGCAGGCTGTGTGTCCCCGGGGAACAATGCGGACCATGGGCATGGCCTCCGAGGACAGGGACACGTGCGTGAAGCCCAGCTCCCGGGCCAGTGTGCCCACCTGCTGCTCATGTTGGGCCCATCTACAACAAGAACCCAGGGGCTCTACACTGTCCTCGCAGGCCCTGTGCCTCTCACTGAGGCCCACAGCCCTCCACCCTCGGCTCATGACCTCGCTCACGTGTAGGAATGCATGAGAACCACGGCCAGGCTGCGGATGCCCCGGGACAGGAGCCCCTCCAGTTTCCCACGCAGGGACCCCAGGTCCACAGGCTGCTGCACCTCCAGCAGGTCTCCTGTGCGGCCTGCAGAGGCCCATTGCCCCCATCAGAGGCTGCCAGGATCTGCCCTCCCCCGGGCCCCACAGCTGTGAGTGGCACTGGACCTTTGACAGGCGACCCAGCGCCTGGTTCTCCGCGGTAAAGCACCACACGTTCCTCCACCTCCAGCACCTCCTCATACAGCATCTCTGGCATGGGCACAGCCTGGGGGTTGGCAGAGACTCAGAGGAGACCCAGGCCTGAGGGTTCTTGTGGGTCCAGCGTGGGTGAAGCGGTGCAGGCCAGGGGATGTGTCCCAACGAGTCAGTAAACAGGCCCAAGAGGCAGAGAGTCAGCCTGGCCCAGCAAGGCTCACCTTGGGGTGGCTCACTGCCTTCAGGCGTCTGAGTGGAATATGGTCAACTGGCCCATCCCCAAAGGGCAGCTCTGAACCTTCAACCTGAACAGGACTTGCTTGGGCTGTCAGGGTCCAGGACAGGTCACAGAAGCAACAGGAAAAGAGCACTATGTCCCTACTCTGAGGCAGAGTACCCTTCTGGCAGAACCCAAAACTACCTCTCTGCCTATCAGCTGCTGGACTTGGCCCTCCACTGATCCTCCCACCAATTGTACTCCCCACAAGGCAACAGCAACTTATTGAGACAGATTCAAGGAAGCTATACCACATAGCACCCAGCTGGGTGCTCACCAGATCAAAGAGGTCCACGCGGGCCTGGGTGCCAATGTGCAGCAGGTCTCGGAAGCCACGTGTCACCAGCAGGGCCACCCGTTCCCCCCGTCGTTCTAATAGTGCATTGGTGGCCACTGTGGTACCCATGCGGATGCTGGCAATACGACTGGTGTCCAGTGGCCGGTCCCGGGGCAATAGCACGCCCCCCTCCTGAGAACCACAGGGTCAGAGTCAGGCTTCTTGTGGTGGGGTCCCTCCCCACCCCACCTCTTCTCCCAGGGCCCACCTCCTCCAGGATGCGGCGGATGCCCTCCGTTGGTGCGTCTGCATAGTTGGCAGGGTCCTCAGAGAGCAGTTTCAGGACCCGCACATGCCCTCCTGGGCACTGGGCAAAGACATCTGTAAAGGTGCCCCCGCGGTCAATGGCAAAGTGGAAGCGCCCCTCGGGGCTCCCCATGATGGTGCGGCTGGAGTCCAGCAGTCGCTCTTCAGATGGTAACCCTGGGAGAACTGGACAGAGGTAGCCATCAGCAGGGAGGCCTGGGAGTCATGCATGGGTGAGGCTCTGAATGGAAAGAGGGAGTAGATTCCAAGTCCAGAAGGAGCCCTGGGGACATGACCCACTACACGACTCTGGGCAGAGTCAGAGCTACAGGCCCCAGCTCACAGGGCAGCCTGAGCTGAGCCCTAACCTGGCAGTGCATGGGGGCCAGCCCACTGCCCCCATTGCCAGGGTCTCGATGCCCTGATTGCCGAAGAAACCCAGGGCCTGGAGCCGAGATGGAGGTAGCAGGGAAGGCATTCTGGAGCCCTTGGCTTTTGGCATGAGAGGCAGCAGGGCTGGGGTAGACAGGTGAGAGGAACCTTCTGGCCACCGGACCAGGCACCACCCGTGCAATATCAGGACCGGGCCAAGGCCCAGAAGATGAGAAGTGGAGCGGAGCCCTGACAGGGGAGGAAGCAAGGCGGCCTCAGAGAAGGTTGAGGACCCCCCGTGAAGAGCCCACCTGGCTAGTCGGCTCCGAGTCGCCCCGCGATCTTCTCCAGTTGTGCGCCCCGCCTGCCCTGCCCCCACGTCGGGGCGGGGTCTGCGGAGACCGTCCCTGAGCCGCCCTCCCCCGCCCGGCGCACGACGAGGCCTGGCCCGCCCCTTGCGGTGGCTTCAGGCCTGTCGGGTCCACAGCGCCTCCTTCCTTCCCCGAGTAACCCCTGGGACTGCAGGGTGGAGTGGCCAATTGCGGCCGGGGGCGGACCCGGCGCTGCGATTCAAGGTCACCTGCGCTCTGCTGATCGCCAGACTCCCACGCAGGCCTTGGGCTCGCGAAATGTGGACGCCCACGGCACCCACTCCCAGGTATCTCGGAGCAAGGGAATCCGGTTGCCTCAGAGAATCAATAACCCGGATTCGCTCTGACTGTGTCCTAGTGCAGGCGGCCCGGGAGTGGGGCTAGTGAAAGTAGGAGTGGGTAGGAGAGAGGGACAAAGGGGACTCCGCCAGGAACGCCCTCACCCCCGTGTGCACCCCCCCCACGACCAACCCCACAGCGCAGAGGAGACCCCAGTACACCTGGAGCAGACATTCCCTCCTGGGATGAGACCCTGTCCCCAGCCAGCTTTCAGCCTGGAGCTGACGTCCCCCACGCCTTGGCCAGGTAGCTTTCATGGTGAGGACTAGGTGGTTCCCCCATGGGCAAAAGATACCTTTCCAGGGTGCAGTTGGCACAACCCTCGGAGAGATGGTAGAAGAGTGGAGGAGGCTCCCAGGCAGAGAAAACCACAGATGAAGAGGGCAGAAGGAGGTCAGGACTGGTTTCGTACGTTGGTTCTTTGCTATTACTCTGGTGTGGTTTAAGCCCCAGGAACGCAGGGCCTGGGGTGGGGAGCCAGTACTACTGCACCTGCATTCCTAGACTTGTTGAGGCAGATTCAAAGCAGCCTCCACTGTGTAGGCCTGGCTGGAGGTGGGTGGGAGCAGGCATCTGCAAGCAGGGCAGAGCCTAGACTCCAGACCAGCACCAGAAAGCACCCTCAGAGGGGGACGCATGACAGCTGGAGTGGAGGAGCCTGGCAGAACAGTCAGTGAGGTGAAGGTGCTGCCCTGTGATGGTGGCCCCAGAGGTCAGCTGAACCCATGGGCCTCCCCAGTGTGCCAAGCAGATGACAGGCAAGCTGGAGGCACACCCCAGCCCCTGCACCCTGTGAGCCCTGCTGGCCCCCAAAGCCTGCTTGGGCCTGAGAGGCCAGGACAGAGGTGGTCGGGGTGTGCATGGGCACACCAGGATCTGGGCTGTACCCCAGGCTGCAATAGACCCCTCATTGACTGGTGCCCTCATCTGTGTGAGGGGGTTAAAGGGAAGACCTGGGACAGAAAGAGACATGGTTTAGAAGGAACTGAATCTACTCTCTTGTCCAGGTCGCCACAAGAAAGACAGCTGCAGAGCAATACTGTGACATCTGACCCCACCTCATGCCCTCTAACCTTGCCCCCCCACACACTGTGAGCTGCTCATGTGACCTATCTCATCCTGGGCCCCCTTTCACTGAATGTGGCTACCCCCAGCCCTTCTTGGGTCAAGCAAGCTGGTCACCAGCTCCCCAAAAGACAGGGATTGGACCCTGCAGCAGGTGCCTAGGACCCAATCCCCATGGAGGCTGCTGGCCTCATCCAGATGACTGCCCACCAAGTGGCAGGTATCCCCTCCCCCACCATGGTGCTACTGCCAAACTCCTAGCCCACTGTACCCAGCCTGGGGTCTAGACCATCATAGCACCATCAAGATGTAGGAGCCCACCCCTTCGTATGCAGAACAGCTGTGGGGAGCAATCAGTGGTCCCACTTCAGTCCAGGACCCCCAACGGAAGCCTGAGCCTCGAGGTGGCCTCCCATTACAATCATTCTGCCCACCCCCAAAAGCCCCTAGGGACTGTCTACCTTCTCATTTCCACCGCCCCCCCCCCAACACTGTCTCTGCCTCCTAACTCAGTCCAGGATCTATCAAAAGAGAATAAAACCCCACCCACACCTATCACTACCTGGGTTCTGCACTCCAAGCCCTCTCACTTTCTAATAAGGGTCACCTCAGCTGCACCCTCTCTTCTGTTTTCACCCCAGGGGCTGACTCCTGTCAGCTCACAGATTCGTCCTCTAAGGGCTCTGTCCCTGCAGCACCCCAGCTGCTCTGCTCCTCCTGGGGATAGCACTACTCAAGGTGTCCATCTCCTGCTGCTCACTCCCAGCCTTCACCTGACCCCACTCCACAGCAGAACAATAAAGGCCCGAAGGCCCCGTGCTTGGTCCCCCCTGGGAGCCTCCTACACCTGCTGGCCCTGGGAGGTATTTTGCTGCCTGCCTTACCACATTTTCATCTCTGTCTGAGTGTTGACATGCTGGGTGCTTCTGCTCTGTAGTTACATACTCCCCTTGGTAATGTCCACATCCCACAGCAGGGACAAAAGACGGTGGCAGGCGTGACAGCATTCACCCCCTGCCCACTCAAGTCCACCCTTCTGAATGGCCAGACTCTTCCCTCAAGGCCCCAGGATCGCCCCCTATTCCAGGGACAACTCCCCTACTTTCAGAGCTGCGCTGAATTTCCAAGTTGTTCTTGCATCCTCTTCCTCGAATTGCCAGAAGTCCTGGACTTCAACTTTCAAAATAGGTGTCTAGAGCCTGCCATCTGCATAGCCCTGCCCTGCCCTTTTCTCCAGGTGTCGGGCTGTCCCCCACCATTTGTCAACTTAGGGAGCCCAGAGAACACGGGGCCAGGGACAGTCTGTCCTCAGGCTTCCCGTGGCCTTCAAGGTCCTCCTGGTCTTCTCTGCCCTCTGCATCAGAACACTGGCCTCACAGCCAACTGGCTGCTACCTCGAGACCTTTGTACAGACTGTTCCTTGGCCTGGAACTGGCTGGCTGCCTGGCTCTCACTTCACTCCAGGTCTGCTCCAATGTCACTTTCTCAGGGATGCCACCTGCTCCTTGCTTCCTGAAAGAACTGCAATTCCACTCCCACCCTGGCCTTGCCCACTTCCCTCCACCCGCCACCTGCACCCAGGTGTTGCATTCCAAAGGGCAGGTCTTTTGCTGGACTTCTCAATCCCAGCCGGAGCTGAAGGCGTGAAGTCTGTGGGTTTGCCAGCTGCTCACCTCTCTCAGCATCTTTGAACGTGATGGTTCTGCGCCTAGGCACCCGGGGACTGGCAGCCACCTCTGCCAGGAACCCTGAGGTGCAGAAGCCCAGGCTGCTGCCCCTGTTCCTGAGGACCAACTTCAGCTCCTGGTTCTCCTGAATGAGCTGCACAAGCCGCCGCAGCTCCTCATTCTCCTGTGCCAACCGCTGGATCTCCTGCCGCAGGCCCTCATAGCTGCTGAGGAGGGACATGCCCAGCAGCACGTTGTGGGAGGTGGCCGGCGGCCAGCAGCCTGGCCGGGGACAGCAGACCAACCATTATGAGGTCAGTGGGCAGCCCTGCCCCCACATTCCGGAGCGTCAGGGCCAAGGCCCAGGCGTCCATCCACTGGCCCTGGGGCTCCGCCTACCTCTGGCTTCTGGCCTTGTGGCCTGGATGACCAGGGATGCCCAAACTGGTCCAGGCCTCTGGGTTCCTCCAGGAAATGCCCTCCTGGAAGCTGGAAGCTTCTTTGTCCCAGCCTAGCCCACCTGTTCACACTCACTTGCCCCACCCACTTGGCCTCTGGCCACACACTTCTAGTGTTCATGCAGGACAAAGAACTGGGTAACTGGGCTTGGCCTCTGGGCAGTTTCAGTCAGGGAGGGCAGCCATTGGAGCTGTGCTGCAAGGGTGTTCCCTGTTTAGTGACGGCAGGAGCTGCCTAGCATCTGACAGAGTGGTGAGCCAAAGAGCAAATTAGGAGGAGCAGAGGAGGGGGCTACAGACAGAGACCGAAAGGGCTGGGCTTGTTGCAGGGGTGGCAGGCCATGGCACTGTCACATGGACATAGTGGCAGGTGCTCTGAGGGAGGGAGTCCATCTAGGACTAGAAGGACTCTAGGGAGCAGGTACCAAGGAGCCACACCAGATGAACACTAGGGCCTGGTGACAGAAGGTTCTCGGGGCAGGTTCGTCACCTGCAAGGGTGACAATGGATTTGTGTTTCAGATCAGATAATGGACTTTCTTTTTTTATGCAGTCTGTGGAGCTGCTTTGATTTTTTGCCATTTCTTACATTGTGACGATCATTTATCTCATATTGTTTCCTTTTTGTCTGCTTGATGCATGAAGTGTCCCAGCCTGTAATCCCAGCAGCTCCAAGTGAGGAGTAGGAAGTATGGTGGTTGGTTGGAGATATCAACTGGGGACTGCCTGCCCAGGTGTGCTTGCTGGCCAGGTCCCATAGCAGCCCTTCTGCAGAAGGAAAGGTTGCCCTGCCCACCCACTTTCCAGCACGTGTTTAATTTCTTGTGGTACCTCCTTACTTCTAACATGGGGAGACTGAAGCAGGAAGATTGTGAGTTCAAAGTCAGCCTCAGCAACTTTGCAAGGCCCTAAGCAACTTAGTGACACCCTGCCTCAAAAAATAAAAAAGGACTGGGGATGTGGCTCTGGGGTTAAGCCCCCCTAGGTTCAAGCCCTGGGGCCAAAACAATAACAAATATATATAATATGAAGCTTTGGTTCCAGACCAGCAGGTGCCTGGGGCTTCTCTCTTCCCTGCTGTCAGTGAGACAGAGGCTGCTGCACTCGGGAGGGACATGCTGAGCAGAACAGGCCCACACCCACTCAGCTCCTGATGGAGCAGGAGCAAAGAGGACTCTGGAGGAAATGACCCTCACACAGTGCCCCAGAAGCCACAGGGTAAGAGATGAGGGACAGGGACGCTGGATTCATTTGGAAACTCTGTGTGGAGAAGCAGTGCCGGAGGACGTCCAGAGACAATGGGAACCTCAGTGTGGAGCAGGAGCTCCCAAGAGGAACGGCACTCGACAAGGAACAGGCAGCCAGAGAACTGGTTGCTAAGAGCTCAGTCCTTGTCCCTGGTGCCAACCCATTACAAGGACTTGGTTTTGAGACAAAGGAAAAAGAAAGTTTGTAAAGCTAGCAAAGGA